GGCAAGTCAGTCCAACATACAATCACCAATTAAGTATAAACACAAACATGTCACAATGCCATGGAGGTAACAGAGCATCACAGTTCACACAAAGAAGCAAGATAAAGCAGCAGAAACAAGGGACCAAGATACAGACCCAAAATACATCCCTGAGGAAGACGCAGCATTAGAACTCCCTGATAAGGAATTCAAAGGAATTACATTTAGGTACCTTCAACAAATTGAGAGACAGATCAAGGAAAACACTGATAAAATTGAGGAAAACACAGAGAAAACCCTAGAACAATTTCGAAAGACAATACAAGAACAAAATGACAAAATAAATGAAAAATTAGAAATTACACAAAATCTACACACAGAAATCCAGAAGATTAATACTAAAGTTTCAGAAATAGATAACTCATTGAGCAGTCAAAGGAGTAGAATTCAATCAATGGAAGACTGAAAGCAAATACCTCAATATTTCTTTGGAAAGGGAACAATCAGAAAAAAGATCAAAACAAAATGAAGAAACCCTAAGGTTCATGTGGGAGCTCTGGTAGTACAGTGCCTAAGGCATTTGACTGCTAACCAGAAGATTGGCCACTCCTCGGAAAGAAGGTTGGGCAATCTACTTCCATAGTGATACCGCCTTGGAAACCCAAGGAGGGGTCGCTATGAGTCGGGTCCAACTCGACGGCACATAACAACATCAACAACAACAAGGTTCATGTGGGATACCATCAAAAGGAATAACCTACGTGTCTTCAGAATTCCAGAACAGGAAGAGACAAATAAAACTACAGAGAAAATTGTCAAAGATTTGTTGGAAGAGAATTTTCCTGGTATGATGAAAGATGAGAATATATCCATTAAAGAAGGCCAACGAACCCCAAACAGGATAGACCACAAAAGAAAATCACCAAGACATATCATCATCAAATTCACCAAAACCAAAGACAAAGAAAAAAATCCTAAAAGCAGCATGGGAAAAACAAAAAGTTACCTACAAGGGGCAACCAATAAGAATAAGTTCAGGTTTCTTGGCAGAAACCATGCAGGCAAGAAGGCAATGGGATGGTATATATAAAACCCCGAAAGAGAGAAAAATTTTCAACCAAGAATTATATACCCAGCAAAAGTGTCCCTCAAATACCATGGTGAAATTAGGACATTTCTAGATAAGAAGAAACAAAGGGAATTTATTAAAACCAGAGCAACCTTACAAGAGATGCTAAAGGGAGTCCTTTGGACAGAGAACAAACAATAGCAAACAAAAATTGACCATTAACACACATGATGACACAACCCAGAAACCAACACAGTTATAGAAATATCCAAAGTAAATAAGCCTACAAGATTGTAAACAGGGAACCAGAGATATCAATTGACAAATGAAGAAAACTACAAATCAGAAAGAGGGAAAAAAAACTGTGTAGTTACAGAACTTCTAAAGGGAAGTCAAGAAAACTACAAGATAGAATGGACTGTTCTAAACTTGGAAAGAAACTATAAATCACAGGGTAACCTCAAGAAAATGATAAACCTTCACATCAAAATAAAAAAGAGGACCAGTACAAATATTTAGCAAATACTAAAACAATAGCAACGAAGAAGTGATAACACGATTCATAAACAAAATGAGCTCAGCACAGAAAATTACATGGAACAAGGAAATCAACACCACAGAAAAGCACACAACAAAATACCAGAAACAAATACAAACTTGTTGATAATTACTATCTGACAAGGGACTTATCTCTAAAAGTTATAGAAAATTCCAACACCTCAACAACAAAAAGATTAACAATCCAATTAAAAAATGGACAGAAGACATGAACGGACACTTCACCAAAGAGGATATTCAGGCAGCCAGCAAATACATGAAGAAATGTTCATGATCATTAGCCATCAGAGAGATGCAAATCAAAACGAGATACATCTCACCCCAGCACTAATGGCAAAGTTCAACAAGACAGAAAATGGCGGATGCTGGCAGGGATGTGGAGAGACTGGGACTCTCATACACTGTTGGCGGGACTGTAAAATGATACAATCACTGTGGAAAACAGTATGGCAATTCCTTAAAAAGTTGGAATTAGAAATACCGTTTGACCAAGCAATCCCATCACTAGGCATGTATCTTAAAGAAGTGAAAGCCAGGACAAGAACAGATATATGCACACCCACGTTCATTGCAGCACTATTTACAATAACAGAAAGATGGAAACAACCCACGTGCACATCAACAGAAGAATGGATAACCAAACTGTGTTACATACACACAATGGAATACTATGCAACCCTAAAGAATAATTTAGAATCTGCAAAACACCGCATAACTTGGAAGAACTTGGAGGACATTATGCTGAGTGAAAGAAGTCAATCACAGATAGACAAATATAGTATTAGTTCATTATTGTAAAAAGT